TAACTGCCCTGTAGGCAACTAAGGATGGGCAATAAATGCTGGCTTAGACAGTGCCCACATCTTGTGAGTGAATAAAAAAATTTTTATCATCCTGGCAAGAGAGTTAATTTAGTTACCCATAATTTTCCAGGAGGCAGTTTAAAGCATCAGAAATCCAAGTAATAAAACAAATTGCATCAGATAAAGATTCATCTGACATTAGAGAGAGTCATACAGTCATACAGGTGTGGAAACAGACCCTTTGGTCCAACTCATCCACATCGACCACATATCCCAATCTAACCTAGTCCCATTTGCCAGCATTCGGCCCATATCCCTCTAAACCCTTCCTATTGATATACCCTTCTAGATGCTTTTAAATGTTGTAATTGTACCAGCCTCCACCAATACCTCTGGCAGCTCGTTCCATACATGCACTACCCGTTCTGACATCAGTTCTAGTTACTTTCCACCCGTTAAATTCTGTCTCTCGATCTTGACTCCTGGTGTACCTTTTTTAAAGTACTGCTTTCTTTCAAGATTAAAGAATTTTAGTATTCCTTCATAAGAGAATTCTCCAAACTGAGGGATCTGTCTCACCGCTCCTGTTTGCCCTACGTGGTCTGAACCAGTGATGGTGTTGCACTCTGCAAAGGATATGGTGCAGTGGAAGGTTAACTACTAATTACTATTAATATAATCAAACGACCTATTGATATAATTGCCCTCTGCAGTTGTTTGACAAGTCATAGGAGATACAAATTAAAAAAAAACTAATCAGCCCCTCAAGCCTGCTCCATCATTCAGCAATTTCATGGTTGATCTGCATATTCCACACTCCCACCTACCCGAGATCACCTTTCACCACCATCCCATCCCCTTGCTTATCGAGAACCTATCTATCTAACCTTATCTTAAAAATATTGAAGGCCTTTTGAGAAAGAGAATCTCAAAGATTTATGACACTGTGACAAAAAAAAATTGCCTTATGTCTGTGTTAACTGCATAGTCCTTTATTTTTAAACGGTGATATCAGTTTGAGATTAATAATAACTAGGGCACTGAGGTACCTCCCTACTCCTTTGTGAATAACACAGAGTTATTGTATAAACTGACTTACAAATTTGTGTCTCCTTTTTTGAATAAAGGAGTTACATTCGCTACTTTTTAAATGAATGGAACCATTCCCAGGAATTTTGGAAAATTATACATAACTTTTTCGAACACCTCACTAACAATTTCTTCCAACGCTCCAGGATGAAGTTTATCAGGATCTAATAATTTATCGATCCACAGCCCTAACAATTTGCTCAATACCACTTCCCTGCCAAGTGTAACTTTAGCAAGATCCTCCTTCCCCTCCAGCTCTGATCCACAGCTATCCCTGATGTTACTTGTATCCTCTATAGTGAAGAGGGATGTAAAATACCTGTTCAATTGTTTTGTCATCTTTTCATTTTACATGATTAAGTTGAGACTCACTTTCTGTTGGACTAACTCATGCTTTGTTAATGCAGTTCTTTTAATATCTGTAGGAATTCTTACATTATGTTCTCTATATTTCTAGCCAACCTACTCTCTCACCCGAGTGTAATTGTATAATTTTTCTTTAAAGTTGATGCTATTTTTAATGTGATTAGTTAACCATAACCATAGGTCTTTTTCTTGATTTTTTTTTTGTTTCCAATTGGAATCTATTTGAAATATCCCCTTAAATGCCACAGCAGCGATATTGACATATTCCTCAAGCTTTAGCTTGTTCTGTTTCATAGTCTCATAACTGCCCTCATTTAAAATTAAAATACTAGTTTTGGATACACTTTTTCTCCCTCAAACTGATTTAAACTTTCAATCATATTATGTTTATTCATCTAAAGGTGCCTTCAGTATGGAGATTATGCACTACTCTTATCCCATTACACAATGTTGGGTCTAGTAAAGCCTGCACTCTGGTTGGCTCCATAATACGCAGTTCTACGAAATTACCCTGCAAACATTTTATGAATTCAAAACAAATTTGCCCATCTGATTGTTCTAATCTATTGGTGGATTAAAATCCCCGTGCTTAATCACTGTCTCATTTGGACAAACTTCCATTATTTCTTCCTTTAGAATCTGATCTGCCACGTAGTTACAGTTAGGCACCTGTACATTATGCCCACAAATGACATCTTGCCTTTATCATTTCTCATCTACCCTACATCTTTGTTTCCTGAACTTAAGTTATTCCTCTCCATTGTGCTAGTACCATCATTAACTAAATCAGCCATCTTTTCCCAGCATCTTGTCCCTTCTAAACATCATGTATCATTGTTTAGGCCCTGATCTATGTACTCCTTCAGCCATATCTCGGTTATGGTTTTCAGATCGTTTTTACTTATTTCTACCTACACTATCAATTAATCTGTTTTAGTTCACATGTTAGGTGCATTCAGATACAGAGCCTTTAGTTTTGTCTTTCCATTATTTTTGTAATCTAATGACCTGTAGGGGTAGGAACCTGCCATCCTTACCTGGTCTGAGTCTAGGCATAGTTGACTTTTACTGCCCTTTGGAATGACACAGCGTGAAGTACCAAACCACTAAAAATACTCAAAGGAATGAAACTGAACAGATGACCTGGCATCTAACTAAGCACCAAAACTGACAACAGCAATCTCAGTCCTGCCAATCTTGTAAAATGCTCCTTTCTAAATATCTTGGGGCTAAAATTGGGAGGACAATTTCACACAGTAGTCAAGCAGGCAAATGGAACAAAAGCAGAAGTTGCTGGAAAAGCTCAGCAGGTCTGGCAGCATCTGTGAAGAAAAAAAGAAATCAGAGTTAACGTATCAGGTCTGGTGACCCTTCCTCAGAATCTGAAAATGTTAACTCTAAATTATTCTTCACAGATGCTGCCAAACCTGCTGAGCTTTTCCAGCAACTTCTGTTTTTGTTCCCGATTTACAGCATCCGCAGTCCTTTTGGATTTTATTTTAGCAGGCAAATGGATCTAGTTTAGTTTGGGAAATCTGGTTGGCATGGACCTGATGGACTGAAGGGTCTGTTTCCATGCTACATGACTCTTTGACTCTGACTGTATAACAACCTGGCATGGTCATACACACGGAACCGTAACTTTGAGATGGACAATGTCCCGGATTGTTGGTTCACTGGTGGACACACTCAGTAGAGGTGGTTACAAAGTGGTAGATTATCAGCAGGGAATTACCCTGCAAGTCCTCAACATTGATTCTGGGCCCCATGAGATCTCTTAATATCATGTGATTGTTACAATGACATCAAGGCTCCTCCATCTTTCCAGGTTGACAATCATTTCTATTACAGGCATTAGTGGGATTCAGTCATCAACTTTCATGGTATGGTCAGGAGTTCTTGGGGCAAGGATTTGGGAGGAATGCAGAGATCGTAGAAGGTTATGAGGCTGGAATAGATTTTATATGTAGGGAGGGGGAGGTCCATGGAGAAATCTGCATAGGACCACAGAGTAACCCAACTGGTGTGGCAACAAATGTAGGGGGAGGAAAGCGAGAAAGACAGAGAAAGCGAGAGAGACAGAGATAATGTTGAGGCCGATATGACTCTTTGGCAGAAGTCTCAGACCAGCTATGAAACATCAACTCTGTTACTCTCTCCAAAGATGATAGCACACCTGCTGAGCTTCTCCAGCATTCTGAGTTTGGTTGAGATTTCCAGCATCTGCAGTATTTTGCTTTTGGTTGAAGAATCTGAAAATTAAGGTGAGAATATTACTGAATTACTTAGGGCAGCACGGTGGCTCAGTGGTTAGCACTGCTGCTTCACAGCACCAGGGACTTGGGTTCAATTCCACCCTTGGGCGACTGTCTGTGTGGAGTTTGCACATTCTCCCTGTGTCTGCGTGGATTTCTGCTGGGTGCTCTGGTTTCCTCCCACAGTCCAAAGATGTGCAGGCTGGGTGGATTGGCCATGCTAAGTTGTCCTGTAGTGCGCAGGCTAGGTCAGTTAGCCATGGTAAATGTGGAGTTATGGAGATAGAATGGGGAGTGGTGGTGAGATGCTCTTCAGCGGTTTGGTGCAGACTTGATGGGCCAGATGTCCTCCATCTGCACTGGAGTGATTCCATGAATATTAACGGTGAACTGAAGAGGGATTAATTCAGTGATATGACCAATGTTAAGCCCAAGAGATTGGCTTGAAGGAGGATCATCAGTTTGATTTAGACCCAACATTTGTGCCCACTTGCAAAGAGGTCCTTTATCCTATCCTGTGGTAACTGTTACTTTGTGGCAGAATCCACAGTGTAGATGGATTTACAGAGCTTCCTTATGGATTTGCTCCTGGGCCTGGCCAGGGTAGCTATTGACAGGTCCAGGCAGTGGGATATGGAGGGGTCTGTTGTACCTAACAGTCTGTCCCTCTTTCATGGTTATGTCTGTGCCTGGATGTCCCTGGAGAGGGAAGGTGCAGAGCTCACTGGCATGAGAGAGGCCTTTTGAGACTGATGGGTACCACAGGGGCTAGGCTGCATCATCACCCTGTACATTTTAATTTAGCAAGTTTCCTTATATAACTCTCCATTAGCCATTAGTTTGTATTTTGTTACAGTGCCCCCTCAGGAGTTGATTAAGCCAATTTTGTTACCTTTCATTTAAATAGAAAAAGCAGACGGAGCTTCAGTCTGTATCTAACCTCATGCTGCACCTACCCTTGGAAGTATTTGACGGGGAGATTGTGGAAGGAGCTTTACTTTCGGTTTAAAAGAATAGGTGGATTTACAAACCGCCCATTACTCACGCAGCCATTCCTCCCTCCTCCAAAGTACCTATGGACCTCATTCCCAGTAAGAATCCAAGCTGAAAGATTTGTTTGCTTACCATCAAATGGTCACATGATGTAACCTAGATGTTGTGGAAAACGTATCCCAGCCAGGACAATCTTCACTGGGAAATCTGCCCAGTATAGTCTTGAGGCAGAGAGGAAGTCGGCTCTAAGACCCCACCCATGAGCAATAATGCTCAGAGGATCCTGTTTGTGAGTAAACTACTGTGAGTCATACTTTATAAAGATTAGGGGCCATTTCCTTACTGACTGGAAATCACCGTTTAAAGGTCTCAGCATTCATAACGCCTCGTTCTAACAGGTCTAATCAGGTACTACTACGGCTACCGATACAAATTTGCTAGTAGCTTTTCGACTCCGAGTTAAAGTGAAATATTTTCATGTAATTCAGGTAGTCATTGATGCAAGGCAACTTTATTTTATCGATACGAGTTGCCATACAGTAGCAACTGGAACATCCTCCCTAAACCTCACTGTCTTCCACTTCCTTCTTTAAGAGTTCTTTGATCGAGCCCTCAGTTATCAGTCCTAATATCCATTTCTGTGATTCAGAATCCAACAATGTTGCTGTGGAACACCTTGGGAATAGTGCATATAAATGCAAGTTGGTGTCTTCAAATTTCAACACCATGTTCCCTTGAGGTTTTGAATTGGTGCATTTGTCAGTTATCTAAAGATCCTCTTTAGCAAACAGGAGTGAATTAGAACTCACATTCTTTCCTTGAGATTAGCCTGAAATCTCACTTGCTTATGAAAAAAACCATAAGCTCTCAACGACTATGTGGTGTGTTAAGGAGGGCGGTCACGATAGGAGATTTTAATTTTCCCAAACATAGACCGAGACAGCCATAGTGTTAAGGGTTTGGATGGAACGGAATTTGTTAAGTGTGTATAAGAAGATGTTCTGATTCAGTATGTGGATGCACCTACCACAGAAGATACAAAACTTGACTCACTCTTGGGAAATAAGGCAGGGCAGGTGACTGAAGTGTCAGTGGGGGAGCACTTTGGTGTCAGTGACCATACTTCTATTAGTTTTAAAGTAGTGATGGAAAAGGATAGACAGGATTTAAAAGTTAAAGTTCTAAATTGGAGCAAGGCCAGTTTTGACGATATTAGGCAAGACTTTTCAAAAGTTGATTGGGGCGTGGATATTCGCAGGTAAAGGGACAGATGGAAAATGGGGAGCCTTCAAAAATGAGATAACGAGAGTCCAGAGACAGTATGTTCCTGTTACAGTAAAGGGCAAGGATGGTAGGTGTAGGGAATGCTGGATGACTAGAAAAATTGATGTTTTGGTCAAGAATAAGAAGGAAGCATGTGTCAGGTATGGACAGCAGGGATCGCAGCGAATCCCAAGAAGAGTATAAAGGCAGTAGATGTATACTTAAGAAGGAAATCAGGAGGGCAAAAAGAGAACATGAGATAGCTTTGGCAAATAGGGCTAAGAAAAATCCAAACGGATTCTACAAATACATTGAGGACAAAAGAGTAAGTAGGGAGGGAATAGGGCCCCTTAAGGATCAGCAAAGCCACCTACGTGTGGAACCACAGGAGATGGGTGAGATACTAAAGAAGTATTTTGCATCAGTGTTTACTGTGGAGAAGGATTTAGAAGATAGAGAACGTGGAGAAATAAATAGCGACATCTTGAAAAATGTCCATATTACAGAGGAGGAGGTGCTGAATGTCTTAAAAAGCATAAAGGTGGATAAACTCTCAGGACCTGATCAGGTGTATCTTAGAACTCTGTGGGAAGCCAGGGAAGTGATGGTTGGGCCCCTTGCTGAAATATTTGTATTATTGATAGCCACAGGTGAGGTGCTGGAAGACTGGACGTTGGCTAATGTGGTGTCGCTATTTAAAAGTGGTGGTAAGGAAAAGCCAGGGAATTATAAACCGGTGAGCCTGACATCAGTGGTGGGCAAGTTGTTGGAGGAAATCCTGAGGGACAGAATTTACATGTATTTGGAAAGGCAAGGACTGATTAGGGATAATCAACATGGCTTTGTGCCTAGGAAACTGTGTCTCACGAACTTGATTGAGTTTTTTTGAAGTAACAAAGTGGATTGATGAGGGCAGAGCGGTGGATGTGATCTATATGGACTTAAGTAAGATGTTCAACAAGGTTCCTCGTGGTACTCGTTAGTAAGGTTACATCACATGGAATACAAGGAGAACTAACTATTTGGATACTGAACTCGCTCAAAGGCAGAAGACAGAGGGTGGTGGTGGAGTGTTGCTTTTCAGACTGGAGACCTGTGACCAATGGTGTGCCACAAGTATCAGTGCTGGGCCCACTGCTTTTTGTCATTTATAGAAATGATTTGGACATGAACATAGAAGATGTAGTTAGTAAGTTTGCAGATGTCACCAAAATTGGAGGTGTAGTGGACAGCAAGGAAGGTTACCTCAGAGTACAACGGAATCTTGATCAGATGGACCAATGGGCCGGGGAGTGGCAGACTGAGTGTAATTTAAATAAATGTGACGCACTGCATTTTGGAAAGGCAAATCAGGGCCGGACTTATACACTTAATGGTAAGGTCGTGGGGAGTTCTGCTAAACAAAGAGACAATGGGGTGCAGGTTCACAGTTCCTTGGAAGTGGAATCTGAAATAAATAGAGAGAGAAGGGGAGGCGGATAGAGGAGAAGATAGGTGGAGAGGAAACAGACAGGTAAAAGAGGCAGGGATGGAGCCAGTAAAGGTGAGTGTAGGTGGGGAGTTAGGGAGGGGATAGGTCAGTCCAGGGAGGATGGACAGGTCAAGGGGGCGGGATGAGGTTAGTAGGTAGGAGATGGGGGTGCGGCTTGAGGTGGGAGGAGGGGATAGGTGGGAGGAAGGACAAGTTAGGGAGGCGGGGACGAGCTGGACTGGTTTTGGGATGCGGTAGGGGGAAGGGAGATTTTGAAGCTTGTGAAATCCACATTGATACCATTGGGCTGCAGGGTTCCCAAGCGGAATACGAGTTGCTGTTCCTGCAACCTTCGGGTGGCATCGTTGTGGCACTGAAGGAGGCCCAGGATGGACATGTCGTCTGAGGAATGGGAGGGGGAGTTGAAATGGTTCGCGACTGGGAGGTGCAGTTGTTTATTTGCTGTGTTCATCCAGCTCTACACCTTGTTATCTCAGATTCTCCAGCATCTGCAGTTCCTACTATCTCTAGCCACATTGTCAAATAGCTTACAACATTCACCATCTAAAAACTTACTTTTATATTTTGTAATTAACCTGTGCAGGGGTGCCGATATTCTTGAACCGGGGTCTCCTGGCTCACAAGTTGGGATTCTAGTACTGCACCACAAGATCCTTACACCATCTAAACTTACGTCTGACAGACAAAAATGGAAAAGCTTGCATGTAGATAGCCTGTCTCACATGCACTGCATGTCATAGAGCGTGGACTTTTTGTTACAAAGTGCTTTAGTCAACGAAGTACTTTTGAAGTGTGGTCACTGTTTATTGTATAGGAAATATGGCAGCCAATTCTTGCACAGCAAGCTCCCATAACCAGCAATGTGATAATAGTCGGGTCATCTGTTTTTGTTACGTTAATCAGCACAACAGGGGTAACTCTCTGATATTCTTCAAAACAGGACTGCATGGTTTTTGACAACCACGTCAGGGGGATAAAAAAATGTAGCATCTCATCTGTAGAATCATAAAATCCCTACAGTGTGGAAGCAAGCCATTCAGCCCATCGAATCCACAAGGACCCTCTGAAGAGCATCCCACCCAGCCCCACCTTCTCATGGCCTATCTCTGTAACCTTGCTTTTACCATGGCTAATTCTTCCCTGTCCTGCACATCCCTCAATGTCATGGGCAATTTAGCATGGCCAATCCAACTAACCTGCGCATCTTTGGACTGTGGGAGGGAACCGGGGCAGCCGGAGGAAACTCATGCAGACACGGGGAGAACGTGCAAACTCCACGCAGACAGTTGCCAGAGGCTGGAATCAAACCCGGGTCCCTGGCGCTGAGAGGCAGCAGTGTTAACCACTGAGCCACCGTGCCACGCCCCATGATTCAATAATCTGTAGGACAGTGCAGTGCAGCACTCCCTCAGTCCTGTGAGCCTTGATAATTTATGCCGAGGTCGAGAAATAGGAATTAAATGTACAACCTTGTGACAAAGAGGCAAATGAACCATCAGCCTGGCCACCAACACAGTCACTTGGCAGAAACTCTGGGAGCCTTGCCTGTGGGGCCATACCACCAGAGAAAAAAAAACTCAATACCTTCAGAGAGGAGGGGGACTGGAGAGGAAACAATATCTTGGAAACAAAACATTGTGAGGAGGGACTTTGATCCGGGTTCAGGCCTGAAACAATTAGCTGGAAATGATAGATAACAGAAACCAGAACATGACTCTGATCAGAAAGGTTCAGGGAAGATAAAGACTGTCTTCAATTCCCAAAACCTTATCTCCAAACACTTTCTGCTTCCTTTACAACCCAAAATTTTGAAAAATTTCTGCAATCTCCGGTCAGGAGGTGAAAGCAATAGCAACAAAACTGGAGATAATTTTTTTTTGTTTATTTTGTCAGTGACTAAGAAGCAGTAAAATGAACTCCAGTTCATCTCTCCCATCTTGACACTTTACATCTTTATTTCTTCTCTATTTACTTGTCAAGATATCATATCATTATCTCATGTCTTGGAACCATCTGTTTCACTTCCAGGCCCAATACTTCACAGGTTTGTGTTTCTTGCCTGGTAACAAATGTAATTGTCAATGGGTTGATAGGTCAATGGGCCATGAAAGTCTTTGTAGCTGAGCCTATGTGCGTGTCTCTCCCTTTCACATTCTGGCTGGACCTACATACCCCCACTGCCTGTATGGGTTGTCAGGCACAGAATGGGCTTTTGGCAGTTGGAGGGGGAGGAAACATGCAATTGAGGGCTGCAGCAGTGGTGCCATACCACCTGTTGCCTCCTCACTTCTATAGAGAGTGGGCAGACCAGAGCCAAGTGTCAAGGGTTAACCTGTTGTCAGGCTGGAAGTGGGTATGGATGGTGTTATCTCTCTGCTTAGATATCCTGCACCCACTGGAGATACCCCTAAAGTAGTCACCCCACCTCTCCACCCCCACTTTTAATCCCCATGCCTGCTCCGCCAACCCAGCTGCCCACCCATTCTGGCCAGAGCCAGTGTTTTAGTCCTGTTGGAAAACCGAGACTCAAGGAGCTTGCCAGGCGACAAACAGTATCCTCTTCAGGATTGCCTGTAGTCCCAGTGGCAGCCACTGTTTCTGGTGGCGCTATTGGGGCCAGGTGGCGCTATTGGGGCCAGGTGGCGCTATTGGG